GATTGGTCGCTTGCTGTCAATCAGTGCCAGCACTGTGTTGAGGCACAATGTCACAGGCGACCTCAACATGGAAAATGGCACAGACTACAGAACATGGCTACTCATAATTAGCCGCTACGGAATTGATACTGCGAAAAGCAAAGGCAGACAACCGCTAAGAGTTAGACCAGAGACCAATAGCTTAATCCTTAGCGGGGCCCAATTCTTACAATTTCCTCATCAGTTGTTACACCAAAAGAAATTGACGTTTTCGATGGAAGTCTGCAAACCCAAACCCCATCTGACCGTGTCCTTATTAGTCGCAAATGACGCTCGTCTATCGTCGAAACTCACCTCAAAAATGATACATAATTGAGTTCGATCGCCATACGAACGTGAGGTTTGACCAAAATAATTAAGGAGAAGTAATGATAATCATAAGATAGTTTTGATTAAAATCAATGTTTGTGTAAACTCCGCATCGCCGAATGATAATCATTAGTTTTTTCAGTACTGATAGCTCAATGTGTGACAAAGTAGGAAAGCCCAAAAAACGAGAGAAAACTAATTTAGTGCCCGTCATAGGGGTAAGTTGTAAAGAAACAAATCGATAAAACTGAAACTCATTGATGAACACTTTAAATGGTCCGTTACTTCAAGATGATAAATAAGTTAGCAGACAAGAGAAAGATAAGATTACAGACCGAATGCTGATCATAAGTATCAACAACATAGGCTAAGAAAGAGTGCTGAAAATGCTTTCTATCATTTTCTACGGTAGGCATCGACGTCGGTTTCGATCTCTTTTAATGAGTATCGACAGGACAAGGAGCTATCGCGGCATGGAAAAATCTTTCCGCCATGGAATCCTACACTTCTATTGTGTCCACTTCCGTAACGCAATGGTCGAAGTTACATGCAGTTAATGTTACCAGTAGATTTATTTCAGACGAAATGCAATATGCTTTGGCTCGTGACTGTATTTGCTCAGATTACATGTTCACCAATCTTGGTACAATAAATATTTTCTATAAATTGTTCAGCGAATATGGCGGTTTTGTTATGAAGATAATCATACTGATCATAAACTTCCTGATTTTATAAGGGGATTCAGATTCAGAAATATGAGAGTATTTAACTCGACAACAGGTAAAGTTAAAGTTCCAGTATTTAAGTGAGAGAACACAGCTTCTGTACGTTAACGTGAATGAACACAAACGAATATGTAAAGTACCTTCTGGATAATTGGGGCTTTGGATAGTACCGCCATGAGAGTCGCGGGAGTATCCGCCACAACCAGCACCATGTGGATCAGCCTTTCCTGGAAAATGGCTAGGCGAAGGCTGTACATCGGCTAAAATTAAGTTTACATTAAGCATCAAAATATTTATGACCAAAAATTACCTTCGTCAAGAAACCTGTACGTTCCTGAAAATCCTTGGAAATGTTTGCTGAATGAGGACTGGAATATGATATCGACCGAACGCTGCATGGTTTTGAAGTCGGGAGGTTTCTTGTTACCACAATAACGACCGCTAATGTGTTGAACATCTTTGTAGTCCAGTACGATGACTTCCACGTAGTCATGGAGGCACCTGAAACAGCCAAATACACGCAACCTATTACAAAACTAAAACAGTATATATACCTTTCCATTACATGTAAACATGTATGTATCGAGTTTTCCTCTGTGTCTATATATGCATGTCTGGGGGTATGCATACATGAGTGTATCGATTGGTCCTCTATGTGTCTATGTGTGCATGCCTTGCAATACGCCGTAAAATCTTGCCACTAATCAGTCATTCGTGATTTGACATACTCGAGCATACGAACAACTTCGTAAATCACATTATTAAAAAGGCCATTTGCAGAATCGTAAACTGCCCTGACTTGTAAATGTTTGCAATGATATTACGTTTCTCAAACAAAATATTATCATATAATAAACCATTAGCAGGTTTCTGCCCTCTGCACCTCATATGTAACAGGTTACAGCCTATTAGCCGTTATTCACATAGCAGTAAGCTCCTTCCACCTTGGATTTCTCAACTTATTGCATCACTTCAGTGGTCTTAGTTGCATACGTGACCATTCAGGTGGTTTAATGGTGCTATGACATCTGCAGTGTCAGAAGCATACAGTAATACAGTACTCAATGAAAATTCTTTCCGTAGCCTTGCATACTTTCACAAATCAGCCAAATACACGGAAAGGTGTTCACACGACACTCAATTTCCCAAATCATCGACTATACGGTTAACACTCCAGAGAGTATCGAACAC